ACAGTGGACATCATCGGCACGGCAATGCTATGCGAAACTCATTGTTTTGTGTGTTATGTTTGATCAATGCTTACTCTGGCTTTACAAAACACATAAGTTTGGTTAAAATTTTTTTTTTTTTTTTGTCTTTCAGGACAGCATGTCACACAAAACCCCACCGACCTCATTGAGGCAGTGGGCCACACGGTCAGGTTTGAGTGTTTACACAATATAGAGGGCTACAACCAGATACTGCTGTACCGACAGCGCGGCCTGAGTATGCAGCTCATCGGCTACATGTACTATGCAAACAACATACCGAACTACAACCAGATAATGCTGTACCGACAGCGCGGCCTGGGCATGCAGCTCATCGGCTACAGGTACAATACAATCTCCAACTTTGAGGATGGCCAGAAGAATGTGAAGTTCGAGGGGAGCTCGGAAGCCGGCAAAACGTGCAAGATCATCATCTCTGAGCTGCACCCGAACATCAGCGGCGTTTATTACTGTGCAGCTAGTTACCACGGTGTGGTCTAGTGATACAACATCAAGTCATAAACCTTATCAGATCCCAAGCCCCCCTTTTGCCCCCATGCTGCCGCAACTCCTCCTGTTGCCATCATGCGCCGAGATCCAGAGCACTATTACGATAAGAGGTTCATCCAGCGGTTGCTTACCAGCCAGACGGTTCAGAAAAGATCAGTGAATCAGTCTTGTTTGTTCATGACAAAATTGTCAATGAGACTTTGGAAAGCACCGTGTTAGAATAAATGTTCATAAGTTATCCCATATTTACTTTTATTGTGGTTACAAAAAGTGTGACCTTGCAAGAACCTCATTGACAGTAGGATAAGTTTACAATGAGTGGGTTGTCGGTCTGGGAGAGCCCAGTAGGTTCCTGTGAGTGCTTTGAAGTTAACGGCTTCTGATAAAAGTGAACTGCTGCTCATGAAGATCACATCAACCGCAGGACGTCGCAATGTGGGACGTCAACGGCTGAAATCACAGACCACCGACCACCCATCTGACCACCTCAGGAATGAACTGTGTTCGCATTGTATGCCCCATTTGGAGGATTCATTACTGTTTTGAAACACCAGCTTGGAAGATTGTGGATCAGGGACATCCTTTCGATAAATGCAAGGAGACAAACACGGTTTCTTCAGAGTGGTCCTGGAACCTGTAACGGGTTTACATGGCAGGGCCAGCTGGAGAGCTGCTCCGAGATTGTGAAACCGAGACATGTTTTAGCGTACTCTCTCTTGCAAGACGGCAAAAAAATAAATAAGTAAAAATAACACACTGATTGAAAAGCCTGCAGTTGTTCCACCTGGAAATAGTCTTTGACGCACCTCCTGCACTGCGCCGTGTCACTTCCTGTCTGACTTCCTGCAACACAGAGCCCCTGCTTGATCACATATTGAGGATGACGCCACAACATCGCTTCATTATCTTGGCGGCCAACCTGGTCTGGATGACGGGTACGGCTCCCTTTAAAAAAATAAAATAAAAATCAGGAACTGTTGATGCATTTCCGTGTCTTTTTTTAGGGGCACAATCCAGTGAAGACGTGGGGGTTTCCCAGACACCCCGTGACGTTTTCAGGAAAGCGGATGGCGACGACATCACGCTGAGCTTCACGCAAACGCACCCCAACTGCGACACCATTCAGTGGTTCAGGCGAGTATCAGGCGGCGCCCGATCCTTACAGCTGGTGGCCCTGGTCAACTACCAGAAGGCTTCGGTGGAGCCGGCCTTTATGGGTCGCGTCAGTGTCAGCGGCGACGGCAGGACGGCGGCGCAACTCCGCATAGTGGCGCACAGGTGGCCTGATGACGGCGGCCATTTTCTTGCCACCGCCAGTACACACGGCCTTGAAGGGGCCCGACAGTGCCCCACAAAAACCCTCCTTGAAAGAGAGGAGAACGGAAGCCAATCGTGACTTCGGATGTCACTTCAAAAGTCATCAAATGCACTACAGAAAACCCTTTGTGGGAATTAAGGAGTCCTGATGTGACAAAAAAGATGTTTTAGTAGAATAGATTCCCCCGTACTAAAATTTACGATAAGCAACACTAAAAGTTACCAAGACAAGAACATGACTAAGACATATGTTTGTGTGTGTCTGTGTGCGTGAGAGAGAAAGAAAAACAGAGCGATACCTGCTGAACCTCCCATCAAGATGTCTGCCATCAGACAGTGGCAAACGCGAGCTGCAACATGTCTTTGCGTTATCTGAGGGCATTCCAAAAACGGATTAAAAAAAAAAGTGCCAGTGTTCACTGTACCTTGAGCAGCGTCGAAAATGCGGCACCAAACTAGTGTCGTGGATTTTGACAACCTGGCCTTTCAGGGCGGAGTTCCTCTGGGCTCCTTCCTCGGGCCCATATCTCATCTCAACTCAACTGTATTTATAGAGCAATTTTAAAATAACACAAAGTGGTGAACATGGAGCAAAAATAATTCACACAACAACAAATGTCATGCTGAGTCAAAAGCCAAAGAAAAAAAGAGTTTTAAGACAAGTTTGAAATAAAGGAAAGCGAGGGGGCTTGCCTAACGTTCGGTTTAAAAAATTATCAATATCAAACTGTTTTGAGTTCATTTGAGGGATTGAGTATGTGTTACTGTGAGCATCTCTTTCCCTTCTTCTTCTTCACCACACACAACTAGCAGCAGCAGCCTGGGAGAGATGCTTGCTGAGATATGAGCGGCAGGTGACGGCGATGGCGCAGGAAGTGGGGGGGGGTGTAGA